ATCCTACTGCCAAGGATGACAGCTGAGGAATTTCTCATTAACAATACTTGTGTCACCATATCAAATAAATATATATTAAAAAACTCTGCTCAGGGAACATCATCTGTGGACTTCAAGAATCTCATAAATTTGGAGTAGCTGGTCTTTTTTTATATATAATCTTGACTTTACAACACTTTTGTGGAAACACGAGAGCTGTGGGACCAAGGCGCATAACATTCATTAGATTACTGGTTATTTTTAAACAAGGGTTTGATAAAACATTTCCTAGGCTGTTACAATGTTACTACTTATTATAGGTACAATGAGATTGTCTCCGGTCTTCCATCTGTTGTACGTGGAGGACACAATGACTTGTTTTCAAACAACTAACAAGTTCATAGTAAGATTTATTTTGTCAGGGAAAATAAATCTTCAGCTAGGTTAGTTATACAGAGAGCACCGCCGAAGCCAAGCAAATCAATATACGAGTTAGCTAGTTAGTTCAGAAATGATACAGTAATATTAAATATCATTTAGCTAATGCATTCTAATTAGGCCATTGGGTATAAGATGATAGCAAATAGTAGGTAGGTCAATGACCACGGAAAAGATTTTAATTACTGATAAATGATATTATTATGAGCCATATGTGCTAATTAGTTTATTGTCTGTGTTTGTTTGTGTTTATTTTTTGCTTTGACATTTTTTGCTTTGCTGTGGTGATTGACTTAGGTTAGTTCTTACCATTCCTGTGACTACCAACGTCTGGTGTTTTTTTGATTGTTTTGGACATGCTGTTTTGGAGGTATTCTGTTGATACTAGATACTCTGAGTTCCAGTCTTACACACCCATGGTTACATCGCTAGTCAGATCAACAGCTGATCCACTGGGCTAAAAAGTTCCAGTTTTGTTTCATCACTCCATAGAACAGAATCCCAAAACTTCTGTTATTTATATGATTTTGAGCATATTGGAGCTGACTTTCCTAGTGCTCTTGGGTCAGTAGTGGTGTACATCTTGGAATTCTGGCTAGAAAACTTCTGCATTTAGTACGTGCCTTACTGTGCTGCAGGTCTTTTGCAGTCACTTAATGGCTTTTCATAACCTGCCTTTTCAGAAATCTGGTTGCAGCCACTGATAACTTCATTTTTCTGCCCTGTCAAGGTAGTGTAACCCAATTTCCTTCAACTTTGAACTTGTGAACTATGCTTCCGATGGTGACTGTAGGAACATTCAGTGCCTTTGCTATCTTTTTGTATCCTGTTCCTTGTTTGTGAAGGGAAATGATCTCTACTCTTAACTTTTAGGACCATTCTTTTGACTTATATTCTAATAATAGTCCAATGTATTCTAATAATTCTAATACTCATATTTCTAACATACAGTCAAACATGACACTTAATAAACGTCTACCAAGCTCAGGTATTTCAAGTGTTCCAGCTCAAGCACACCTGGTGCAACTAATGAAGCCCTTGATTAGTTGCATTAGTTGTGCTTGAGACAACTGTTGTGCAAATTTGTGTTGTCGTGAGGGATTCTATTCAGAGGGTTAAATAATTTTGAGACTGGAGAAGTCATTATTAATTGCATTTTCAGTTAATTTGAGGAAACCCCTTTGAATCATTTGTTGTGTTAAGCTATTTCAATGGCTTTTGCTTGAATTGTTCTTGCAAACTGAAAGTCTTAAAATTTTACAATAAATCTTATTTTCAATGGGAGTTGAATAACTTTGATTACAACTGCATTATAATAAAACTTATCTGATTTTAAAGAAACATAGAAACATAGAATGTGACGGCAGGTAAGAACCATTCAGCCCATCTAGTCTGCCCAATTTTCTAAATACTTTCATGAGTCCCTTGTCTTATCTTATAGCTAAGATAACCTTATGCCTATCCCACGCATGCTTAACCCCTCCTGACTAATGACATACCAGGTACATCCTCCAAAAAATGGTCGGCAACGACCACGGACGTACCTGATATGTCATTTAGTAAATCACCACTTACCTGATGATTGCTGGCGATCCTCCGCTGGTGATCGCAATCCTGGGGTCTGTCTGGGAGCTCAGGCAGACCCCCACTGTCCGATCCGGCCCTCCCGGGCCATGTCACATGACCGGAAGTGCTAACTTGCGCAGTGCCTGCAGGGGAACTGTCTAAGCTCTCAGGCTGTCCCCCTAAAGCCTGCAAGAAAGTTAAAAGTTATAAAAATATTAAAAGTTATTAAAACATTTATAAAGTACATAAAAGTACTTAGACTATATATATGATCTAAGTACTTTTACATGCACATAAACACACATACACCATCATTATTAAAAGTGTATTTTTATTTTAATTTATATATATTTATATATATATATATATATATATATATATATATATACATATATATATATATATATATATATATATATATATAATTATTATTAAATTACACTTAGAATGGCGTTAATTTAAATATATGTATATATACAGTTGCAAGAAAAAGTATGTGAACCCTTTGGAATGATATGGATTTCTGCACAAATTGGTCATAAAATGTGATCTGATCATCATCTAAGTCACAACAATAGACAATCACAGTCTGCTTAAACTAATAACACACAAAGAATGAAATGTTGCCATGTTTTTATTGAACACACCATGTAAACATTCACAGTGCAGGTGGAAAAAGTATGTGAACCCTTGGATTTAATAACTGGTTGAACCTCCTTTGGCAGCAATAACTTCAACCAAACGTTTCCTGTAGTTGCAGATCAGACGTGCACAACGGTCAGGAGTAATTCTTGACCATTCCTCTTTACAGAACTGTTTCAGTTCAGCAATATTCTTGGGATGTCTGGTGTGAATCGCTTTCTTGAGGTCATGCCACAGCATCTCAATCGGGTTGAGGTCAGGACTCTGACTGGGCCACTTCAGAAGGTGTATTTTCTTCTGTTTAAGCCATTCTGTTGTTGATTTACTTCTATGCTTTGGGTCATTGTCCTACTGCAACACCCATCTTCTGTTGAGCTTCAGCTGGTAGACAGATGGCCTTAAGTTCTCCTGCAAAATGTCTTGATAAACTTGGGAATTCATTTTTCCTTCGATGATAGCAATCCGTCCAGGCCCTGACGCAGCAAAGCAGCCCCAAACCATGATGCCCCCACCACCATATTTCACAGTTGGGATGAGGTTTTGATGTTGGTGTGCTGTGCCTTTTTTTCGCCACACATAGTGTTGTGTATTTCTTCCAAACAACTCAACTTTGGTTTTATATGTCCACAGAATATTTTGCCAGTACTGCTGTGGAACATCCAGGTGCTCTTGTGCGTACTGTAAACGTGCAGCAATGTTTTGTTTGGACAGCAGTGGCTTCCTCTGTGGTATCCTCCCATGAAATCCATTCTTGTTTAGTGTTTTACGTATTGTAGATTCGCTAACAGGGATGTTAGCATTTACCAGTGACTTTTGTAAGTCTTTAGCTGACACTCTAGGATTCTTCTTCACCTCATTGAGCAGTCTGTGCTGTGCTCTTGCAGTCATCTTTACAGGACGGCCACTCCTAGGGAGAGTAGCAGCAGTGCTGAACTTTCTCCATTTATAGACAATTTGTCTTACGGTGGACTGATGAACAGCAAGGCTTTTGGAGATACTTTTATAACCCTTTCCAGCTTTATGCAAGTCAACAATTCTTAATTGTAGGTCTTCTGAGAGCTCTTTTGTGCGAGGCATCATTCACATCAGGCAATGCTTCTTGTGAAAAGCAAACTCAGAACTGGTGTGTGTTTTTTATAGGGCAGGGCAGCTGTAACCAACACCTCCAATCTCATCTCATTGATTGCACTCCAGTTGGCTGACATCTCACTCCAATTAGCTCTTGGAGATGTCATTAGTCTAGGAGTTCACATACTTTTTCCACCTGCACTGTGAATGTTTACATGGTGTGTTCAATAAAAACATGGTAACATTTCATTCTTTGTGTGTTTAAGCAGACTGTGATTGTCTATTGTTGTGACTTAGATGATGATCAGATCACATTTTATGACCAATTTGTGCAGAAATCCATATCATTCCAAAGGGTTCACATACTTTTTCTTGCAACTGTATATAAATGAAGCCAAGAGGGCTGCACTCACCTGAACATGCATACATTATAGGGTGTTGCTGGGACCAAAATATACAAAATGCATAATCCAATGCACTCGCTTATTCACTACACAATGATTTCAAATCTTAGCGATTGTAATAGTTTTATTTAAAAACACCTCACCTAGGCAAAAAATAATTGGAGTTTATTTACATTATATGATCATATCTTGCATAAGCCTGCCACAACGACAATGTACCCCATTCTTGGCAGGTCCTACTCTCACAGCCTAATGCTTGCTTTTATGAGATTAATCCACTTACTTGGGAACTACTTCCTCCTGGGACTTTCTACAGGTCAAGGCTAAATAGGATCCTGGAATGGGGAACATGTGACAGGGAGGGGTGCAAAACCAAGGAGTTGGCCGGGACTCCCAAATATATAAAAGAAACCAAGAGGGCCGCACTCACCTGAACATGCATACATTGTAGGGTGCTGCTGGGGCCAAAATATACATGATCATGATCATATAATGTAACTAAACCCCCAAAGATTTTAAATCATTGTTTCGTGAATAAGCGTGTATGTATGTAAATTATATGTATGTGTGCATATATGTTAAGACGGACCCTGAAGTTGTGAGAGGGGTTTACCCGGCCTATTTATACCCAGACTTACCTCTATTCAGGGCGACACTGATCCAGACTCATTTCCGTTTACTTCCGGTTCCAGTCCGCCCCAGCTTTGTTCATACAAATCCTAGGAGACTGCCATCCCGTACCTGCTGCCTACCGCACATCACAGGCTCACAGAGCACTTGCAACCCCACCGGCGACCCGGCCAGCTTGCAATAAACTAACCACCATTTTCCGCTCCGGCCGTCGCTTTGCAGCTTCACATCCAGGACGCGGGACATGACGGTAAAGTTAGTACCTTCTCCCTCATGACAGCCACGAACCTCACACTCCCCTCGCATGGCTACCGCACATATCAGGCTCACGGTGGACCCGCAACCCCACCGGCAATCCGGCCAGCCTGCAACAAACTTACCGGCTGTATTCCGCTCAGGCCGCCGCTTAACGGCTTCATATCTGGGCCGCGGGACACGGCGGTAATGTGAGTACCACTCCCTCACGACAGCCACAAACCTCGCACTCACTACGAACAGCTACTGCATATCCCAAGCCCACGGTGGACTCGCAACCCCACCGGCAATCCTGCCAGCATGCCTCAAACGTGCTTGCCGGATTCCACTCTGGCTGTCACTTTACGGCTTCACATTCGGGTCGTGGGACACTGCGGTAATGTGAGTACCTTTCCCTCATGACAGCCACAAACCTTGCACTCTCCACGCACGGCTACGTTCGGCAGCCTTACCAGCTAACATTTACGTTTTCATGCAACCCACTCCAATGGCCATCACGAAGCCTATTCCCAATTCCACTCTGGCTGTCACTTTACGGCTTCACATTCGGGCCGTGGGACACTGTGGTAACGTGAGTACCTTTCCCTCATGACAGCCACAAACCGTGCACTCTCCACGCACGGCTACGTTTGGCAGCCTTACCAGCTAACATTTACGTTTTCATGCAACCCACTCCAATGGCCATCACGAAGCCTATTCCCAATTCCACTCTGGCTGTCACTTTACGGCTTCACATTCGGGCCGTGGGACACTGTGGTAACGTGAGTACCTTTCCCTCATGACAGCCACAAACCTTGCACTCTCCACGCACGGCTACGTTTGGCAGCCTTACCAGCTAACATTTATGTTTTCATGCAACCCACTCCAATGGCCATCACGAAGCCTATTCCCAATTCCACTCTGGCTGTCACTTTACGGCTTCACATTCGGGCCGTGGGACACTGTGGTAACGTGAGTACCTTTCCCTCATGACAGCCACAAACCTTGCACTCTCCACGCACGGCTACGTTTGGCAGCCTTACCAGCTAACATTTATGTTTTCATGCAACCCACTCCAATGGCCATCACGAAGCCTATTCCCATGAACCACACTGGCATACTAAAAAATTCATATCACATAACAGGTCAGATTCAGCACGTTCCCCCATTGTCATAGCAACATATAAACTAACTCTTCATGTGCTAATGGCGCAAAGGGAATTTCTTCCCACAACAGAGACAAAACAATCACCAAACTCTCAAGGCAACCAACCACCTAAGGCCACGGGGCACGGTCGAGATTTAAAAATAAGGGGCAACATGGGAAGGGGGATTCAGGCCCCTCCTGATTAAATTGTCCATATAAGCCATGAGACTCGACGGCGAGACCACAGACTGTTACCACCTATCATACAACAGATAGGAATTTACATAAATTTGACATAAAATGGGGAGCCACACACCCGCACGATCAATATGTATCCACAATTTCTAAGCACTAGGTGCTGATTGAATAATCATCGGGTTTCTCGACTTATATTTCACCTATTATTTGATAATCCAGTAGTCATGCTCACATTATACATACGACTCTCTGTTGGTATTCTACTGAGAATACTTCGGCCCCTCCTTCGGATGTTATGTTCAAGTCACCATTCGGCATTCAAGGATATGCGCAAGTGGCCAGCGCCACACCTCTGTACAGCCGACATTGGGCTTAGCCTTTTAAGCATACTTAAGTCGCAGCCCTCCCTAGGCCTTCACAACATACTCGTCGTATGGCCATCAAGGCGCTTACCGCTACAACCTACTTTCAGCTCTTTCACTTTGGCACGGCACATGTAACCCATCCTTGTGACAAACTCCCCTCTCCAAGTGAGTTTGCCACAAGCTCCTGGAGAAGCCTGCTTGCCAGCCTCCTGCCCACAGACTATGGGCCCTGCAGGGAAAACTGTAAAAGACTACCAAACTGTTTTGGGTATAGGACCATGTGCACGTGTGACAGATCCCTCTGTCTTAGAACTATATGGCTATCCTGTTTGATTCGTGTGGATTTGTGTAATTACCTGTCCGTACTTCCCCGTTCGTTTATTTTTTTAATCTACCGAACAAACTGCCGAAAGGCCGGCCACCCAAAAGAGAAGTGTGCTGCTGGTTAACCTATTGGCCTCAATTAGAACATTTCGGTTAACTGCAGACACCTCTTAATTGAAACCGTATGCTGGGTGGTCGTCGTTCGTATGCCGACCATGAGGCGGCGGCCCTCTTAGATGCACGAATGAACAGCGGTGTTCGACGGCAATCTTATGGAACCCAAAATGGACACTTTTTCTCCCGAACACTGCTGAAACAGCCGACCTCCCTTCTTTGTCATCTGGCATATGAACGCCGGTCCGTTCGGGACTTTTTATTTCACGAATGGACTTAACCCAGATAGCCATCCCATCGAGCCTTCGTATACCGAAAGAACAGTGTGAAAGACTTTGGCTCCATGGTGATTGAACTGTGTGTATTGGATCTGAGCGCCATTCGGTAATAATGTGCGCTCAGATCTAGGCTATCTGGGGATACATTATAACTACTGAATACATTCGGTAGTTTTACAGTTATTGAATTTTATGTATTTTTATTGTATCATGTAAAATGGCGTTTTGCCTCTATCCATGGAGATAATTGGATTTCTTCCCAATTATCTCCAGGATAGAGAGGAGGGGTTTACTTGTACAAAGGGGAGTGTTTATGCCTGAGCCACTGTGATTGGCTACTGTACCATACTTGTCCCAGCCTTCCATCTGGTCCCCTAGGGGAGTGTCCACCAGGTGGGAGACCTGCATAAATACTGGGCATGTAGCCCTCAATAAAGCAGATTCCTGTTTTACCCTCAAGACAGGGCTTGGTCTTGTGTTTGGGGGGGATTGCTACTTTGGATTATTCTTTTGCCTGTTCCAGGAGAGAAGGAATTTGTATGATTCTCCATTCGGGAAATTTGAGTATTCGTGAGTTGCTAGTTCCTTATCAAGTGTAGAAGGATTTCGTGTATTTTTCCAGTTCGGTGAATTGAAGCGTTCATGAGTTGCTATTCCTGTATCAAGGTGAATCCCTCATTTGGTATTAACCCCCGATACCTGGGTTATACCGTAACAGCACGGTCGGTCAAAATTACAACTTTCCTGAAATTCTTGAACCCCTGAACTGATCTGGGTTATTTTTGGATATGTTGGTCCCCCAGATCAGGGCTATCATTTGTGGGGTTTTATGCATTTGTAGGGTACTTTTGGGGTGTTTTGAAAAAGTATGTTTTTTCTGGGTTTGGAGAAAATTGGATTAGAATTAGTACAGTTACTGATCCAATTATCTCCCAGGCAGAGGGAAGGGATTGTATGCTTGTATATGGGAGTGTCATGTATTTAAACACCTTTGTCATTGGTCTGTGACTTTGTGCTGCAGTACCCCACAAGGTCCATGGGGACATGCGTATAAGGCCAGTTGTGGCTGCCATTAAAGCATTCCAGCTTGCACTCCAAAACTGTGTACCGTCCTGTTATTGGAGGGAAGAAAGATTTAACCCCTGTGTCTGCTGTTCCAGCTTGCAGGGAATTTAACAGGGAAAGTCCTTGTAAGGACTAGAGCTCCCAGGACTGTGTGTAGTCCAGTGCCTGGGGGTGTCTAGAGCGTATTCCTCATTCAGCTCCAGGAACCAGCGGTTCCAGGGTCACAGTCAAGCCACGGCAGCTGTGGACAGAAGTGCTGCAATTTGTCCCCTGTTCCTGCTAGGAAGCGGTCCTTGGTGGAGGTACTCAGTCGGGGTACAGGGAGCTCCATTACAGTCCTGCTGCCCGGTATTATACGCTGCCCTAACATACCACGTTCTGAGTTCACCATCTGGTCACACGGCCACAGCGACCCTCCGGCATACACACAGAGAATTCCACAGGGACCATATCCCCTCTATATGTAAGTGTTTCTATTTCCCCTTACTATGCCACTTCAGTTGTCACATTAATGCTATAGCATGTCCCTCCCTCCCCCGCACTACTCCCTAGTAACCAGCTCATATTCCAGGGAACTTATACCATCCATCCGCCGTTCCCAGGCCATTTTCACTGCTCCTACTACCCCGGTTTGATTAACCAACATTAGACATGCACGATCGATATATCTATCACAGCTGGTCAGCCCGTATGTCAATTCCAGCCTACAAGGGTTAAATACAACTCTATAATACTGCGGTCAACCATTACTCATGGTCTCCCTCCAAATGTTCCAAACGGCTGCCGCAGGCTTCCCAATACTTGTTAATTAAGGCTCCTCGAATGGGCAATTACATATATCATAATCTCTACATGTTGGCACTCAGCCGGTATAAGTCCAGGCGCAGGCACTCTTTGTATTTTTTATGTTCAGTTCCAGACAGTGAAATAGAGACGTTGGTTAAATACATTCCTCAGGTCTGTCAGAAATACCCTTATATGTGGCCGCACTAGGCCTTTACTACCTATGTTACATACGGCCTGCCGCGGGCAATTCACTACGACACATTTCCGGCCTCTCACTCGGGCCATTACATAAAACCGTGGCCTCATTGGGCCCCCTCAATTCCCCGTTCGACCCTCTTTCTCCGCATTTATGAGTCCAGTCGCAGGCTCTTAATGAATATCTGATATCCATATCCCGATAGTAAACCAGAGACGTTGTTCAAATAAATACTTCAGGTCCTTCGTAAATACCTCTATACGCGGCCGCCACTACCTAAGTTACATACGGTCCACCGCAGGCAATTCACCATGATACTATTTTGACCTTTCACTTGAGCAATCACATACGACTTTGGCCTTACTGGGCCCACTCAATTCTCTCTGCATTTATAAGTCCAGTTGCAGGTAATTATTGTATCTCCGACATGCATTCCTTGACAGTGAACTAGAGACATTGTTTAATACAAACTTCAGGTCCTTCAGAAATACCTCTACACGCGGCCTCGAAAGCTGGGAATGGGGCTTAGCGGAAAAATATGGATATCTCAAATGTTTTTAAGTTACAAACTATACACCTGTCACTGTGGCATTCACATGGTTTGAAATGGTAGGTCTGTACTATTTTGCCACACGTCTAATGTTCGGTTCTAAGAGTAGCCCCAAACTTTTCAACATGTTCGCAGAAACACTATGTGGGCTCCTCCTAAATGTGAGCTACAGCTTGGTAGCAAT